TAGATTCTGCTTCATGAATTTGGAAGCTGTTATTAGGTGCACACTCACTTCAGATTCTTTTGCCTTGTTGATGAGATGACTCTTATTATCATGAAATGTCCCTCTTTATCCCTGTAACATCATTTGTCCTAGAATCTACACTAAGATAGCCGTGCCAGCTTTCATACGATCTGTGTTTCTATGCATATTTTTTCCATTCTTTAATTTTAACCTATTAGGATCTTGACATTTAAAGTGGCTTTTGCTTTCTAGTATCCAGATTAGCATATAGTTGGGTGGGTCTTGCTTTTTTGGTCCAGTCTGACAAGATCTTTCTTTTAATTGGAGTGTTTAATCCATCTACAATTAGTGTGATTACTGATACAGTTGCATTGAATTCTATCACTGTGCCATCTGTCTTCTGTTTGTCTCATCTGTCTTCCTGTTCTTTCCTCCTTTCAGATTGAATACAGGCACACCTCATTGTACTGTGCTTCACTTTATTGTACCTCACTGATACTGCATTTTTTACAAATCAAAGGTTTGTGGCAACTCTGCACTGAGCAATCTATCGGTGCCATTTTCTAACAGTATTTGCTCACTTTGTCTCTATGTCACATTTTTGGTAATTCTCACAATATTTCCAACTTTTCCATTATTATTTTATTTGTTACGGTGAGCTGTGTGATCCGTGATCTCTAATGTTACTACTACAACTTGATGAAGGCTCAAATGATGGTCAGCATTTTTTAGCAATACTTTAAAATTCAGGTATGTACATTTTTTTAGACATAATGCTATTGCACACTTAATAGACTATGGTATAGTGTAAACGTAAGTTTTATATGCAATGGGAAACCAAAGATTCATGAGACTTGCTTTACTGTGACATCTTTTTTTTAACATCTTTATTAGAGTATAATTGCTTTACAATGGTGTGTTAGTTTCTGCTGTATAACAAAGTGAATCAGCTATATGTATACATATAGCCCCATATCCCCTCCCTCTTGTGTCTCCCTCCCACCCTCCCTATCCCAGCCCTCTAGGTGGTCACAAAGCACTGAGCTGATCTCCCTGTGCTATGCAGCTGCTTCCCACTAGCTATCTATTTTACACTTGGTAGTGTATATATGTCAACGCTACTCTCTCACTTCGTCCCAGCTTACCCTTCCCCCTCCCTGTGTCCTCAAGTCCATTCTCTACATCTGCGCCCTTATTTCTGTCCTGCCCCAAGGTTCTTCAGAACCTTTTTCTTTTTTTTAGATTCCATATATATGTGTTAGCATACGGTATTTGTTTTTCTTTCTGACTTAGTTCACTCTGTATGACAGACTCTAGGCCCATCCACCTCACTACAAATGACTCAATTTCGTTTCTTTTTATGGCTGAGTAATATTCCATTGTATATATGTGCCACATCTTCTTTATCCATTCATCTGTCGATGGACACTTAGGTTGCTTCCATGTCCTGGCTATTGTAAATAGTGCTGCAGTGAACATTGTGGTACATGACTCTTTTTGAATTATGGTTTTCTCAGGGTATACGCCCAGTAGTGGGATTGCTGGGTCGTATGGTAGTTCTATTTTTAGTTTTTTAAGGAAACTCCACACTGTTCTCCATAGTGGCTGTATCAATTTACATTCCCACCAACAGTGCAAGAGGGTTCCCTTTTCTCCACACCCTCTCCAGCATTTATTGTTTGTAGATTTTTTGATGATGGCCATTCTGACCAGTGTGAGATGATACCTCATTGTAGTTTTGATTTGCATTTCTCTAATGATTAGTGATACTGAGATCACTTCATGTGTTTGTGGGCAATCTGTATATCTTCTTTGGAGAAATGTCTATTTAGATCTTCTGCCCATTTTTGGATTGGGTTGTTTGTTTTTTGATATTGAGCTGCATGAGCTGCTTGTATATTTTGGAGATTAATCCTTTGTCAGTCGCTTTGTTTACAAATATCTTCTCCCATTCTGAGGGTTGTCTTTTTGTCTTGTTTATAGTTTCCTTTGCTGTGCAAAAGCTTTTAAGTTTCATTAAGTCCCATTTGTTCATTTTTAAAATTTCCATTTCTCTAGAAGGTGGGTCAAGAAGGATCTTACTGTGATTTATGTCAAAGAGTGTTCTTCCTATGTTTTCCTCTAAGAGTTTTATAGTGTCTGGCCTTATATTTAGGTCTTATCTGCTTTATTACAGCAGTATGGAACCGAACCCACAATATCTCTGAGGTATACCTGTATTTCTCCTCCATTTGCTCTTTAGCTACATTTGCTTTTTTGTTGTTGTTACTCTAGAAATTACAATACACAGCCTTAACTTATCTACCAGAATTAATATTATACTTCTTACTGCAGTGGAATAATTCTATTTACTCCTCTTCCCATCCTTTTCACCATTAGTATATATTTTCCTTCTAAATAAATTATAAACCTCATAAGGAATTCATTACTGAAAATAAACTTTTTAACCTTTTAATTATGAACCAATTAGAGAAAAGTTGGAAAAATAGCACAGAGTTCCCATATACCTCTCACCCAGTTTCCCGCAATGTTAACATTTAATATAACCATACTACAATTATCAAAATCAAGAAATTAACATTGGTGCAGCAACAGAATTGACTGCAGACCTAATCTAAGTTTTACCAGTTTTCCCACTAATGTACTTTTTCTATTTCAGGGTTCCATCCAGCATCCCACCTTGCATTTATTGTTATTTCTCCTTAGTCTCCTCTAATCCGTGACAGTTCTTCAGTCTTTCCTCATTTTTTATGACCTTGATGCTTTTGAAGAGTACTGGTTAGTTATTTCATAGCATGTCTCTCGATTTCGGTTTGTCTGAAGTTTTCCTGTGATTCGAATGAGGTTATGCATTTTTGACAATAATGCCACAGAAACTATGGTGCGTCATGTCAGGAGATTCATGATATCAATATGTCTTATTACTGGTAATGTCAATCTTGGTTAAGATGATGTCTACCAGGTTTCTTATTGTGAAGTTCTTTCCCTTTGTAGGTAATAAATATTTTAGAAAAGATACTGTGAAACCATGTGAATATCCTTTTCCTCCTCAAACTTTCACCTACTGATTTTAGCACCCATGATGAATCTTGTCTGTAGCAATTATTACGGTGCCGTTCACCTAACGGGCATTGTTTATTTCCCTCTTTCCTTCTACTAATCACAAAACTGCCAGTTTTTGTTACTCTGACGATGTCTTCATTTTGCCCTCATTTTTGCTAGATATACAGTTTTAAGTTGAGAGTCCCTTCCCACCCCATCATCCTCCACAAACCTTTAAGATGCTGTTCTATTGTTTTGGGCTTTCATTATTTCTCATGGAGACCAGCGAAAATTTTTATTGTTTTACCTGTAGGTAAAGAGTCTTTTTTTCTCTGGCTGCTTTTAAGATTTTCTCTTTACTTTGGTTTTGAACAATTTGACTAGGATAAACTTGGGTGTGATTCTGTGTTTATCCTGCTTGACATTCATTGACCTTCTGGATCTGTCAGTTGAAAATTTTAATCAGAATTGTAAATTTGGGGCCTTTAGTTCTTTGAATATTATCTTTCTTTTTAAATAAATTTATTTATTTATTTATTTATTTATTTATTTTTGGCTGTGTTGGGTCTTCGTTTCTGTGCAAGGGCTTTCTCTAGTTGCGGCAAGCGGGGGCCACTCTTCATCGCGGTGCGCGGGCCTCTCACTGTCACGGCCTCTCTTGTTGCGGAGCACAGGCTCCAGACACACAGGCTCAGTAGTTATGGCTCACGGGCCTACTTGCTCCGTGGTATGTGGGATCTTCCCGGACCAGGGCTCGAACCCGTGTCCCCTGCATTGGCAGGCAGACTCTCAACCACTGTGCCACCAGGGACGCCCAAGTTCTTTGAATATTTTTTCCTCTTATACTTCTCGCTCTTCTTCTTCTGGGGTTCCAGTTATGTATGTGAAAGCTCTATTCCTAAATCGTGTCTTTCCTTGGGTCTCAAATGAATGCCCAATGTTCAGATAAGTCTTTCTAACTAGCTGGTCAGAACTCCTGGGCACCAAGTGGCCTCTCAAATCTCAATTCAACCCACAATTCCCCATGAGCTGTTTTTGCCAGGACTTGCACAATGGTATACCAAGGGAGGAAATGACTTATCCTAGTAGGTAGTAGAATTATCCCTGACGCTGTTTAGAATTGCTGGCACAGATGAATTTGAGTCTGTTGTACTGCTCTTTTAAATTTCTCTAGGGACACGTATTGCCCCTTATTCCTTGCGCCTGAAGCAGACATACCCCACCACTTCCTCCTTGGTATGCTACTGCCTTGTAGCCTCTTGCCCTGTGCATACGTAGCATAGCACTCAAAGACTGAAAGACTCAAATTTCTAGAGCTCCCGTCTCTGCCTAATTCTCTTCTTTCTCCTACCTGACCACAAATCTAGCCATTTCAGTAGTCCCAAATTCCAATCTCTGCCTTCTTCAGCTTAGTGATATCAATTTGCTGTTCTTGACCTCTAAAAATTTACCCCATGGTCTGGAAAATGCTTTCAGGCAGAAAGCTGGGCACTCACGGAGCTCACCTCACATGTTTCCCCTCTTTCAGTGGTCACAGTCCTTTACCACTTGGTTGTCCAACACCTGAAAACATGTGCTTCAGATACCTTGGCGAGTTTTATAGTTGTTTACATATGGAAGTAGTCTACTCTAGTACCAGTTATTTAGCCAAAACTAGAAGCAGAAATCCATACTAATGGCTTTAGGAAATGCACTGCACTCCTAATTTATACATAAAGTAAAAAAAATTTTTTTTCCAAAATTCACAAGAAAGATTTCTTGTAAATTGGATTTGAACTTCAAAACCCACCACTGAGTTCAAAACGACAGAGTCCCACACAAAAAACCCTTTGTGCCACCTTTGCTTCAACTTCTATACAAACAAATAAATAATTTAAAATATGCTGAGTCCCTTTAACCAAAAAAAAAAAAAAAACCCAATAGGTTGATCACTATTGATTTGTATGATTATCTCGTACCTTATAGAGCTTGAGAATTGTTTTAATGCATTCATGCACAAACTTGGTCTGCTTCTGAAGACTTCCACCATATAGTGCCACCAGTTCTTCATTGAAATTCACACTAAAGAAGTCAAAGTGGTACTTGAAGTCAATGTCTTCAGCTTTTCTAAGTGCAATGGAGCCGACAGAACGAACTGCAGAGGAAAAAGGTGAAGTGCACATTAAACAAAAATTTTTAAAGTTTCATCTATTCTTGCTTCAAAGTCTCTTAACAAATAACTTTATCCCACGTTCTGAATACAACCTGTTTCAGGGTGACATCCTTAACAATAGCAATTTAGAAAAACAAACCAACTTACCAATTGTGGGTCTTGTCCTGTAAATTTTTTTAAGTTAAGTATAACGTGAATGGTTCATTCATTCTCTACCTGCTTCCCCTTCAGTAGGGGCAACAATAGCTAAAAGGGAAGGAAGGATTCCTTGAAGAATAAGAAATAAGAATTTTGTCACACTTCAGGATATTAAGATTGAGAAAATTCCTACAAGAAACGTCTGCTCATTACAGCTCATCACAGTGGTGTAAATACTCATGCATAATTTGTCTCTTTTTCTTACACACGACATCCAATCATTAGTAAATCTTGTCATGCTCTACCTTCTAAATATATCCCCAATCAAGGCTTCTCACCATTTCCACCACCGCCTTCCTAATCCAAGCACCATCATCTCTTGCCTGCACTACTCTAACAGTTTCCTAAATGGTCTCTCTGCTTCCACTGTTTTAGGTTTTGATAAAGTAGTCTACATATATATAAAACTTTTTTTTAAGTTGCTGGTCTCTTAATTTCAAATGCAATTCCCATTTCCTGCATTTGTACTCTCTAGGTTTTGGGTTTAGCAAACAAAATAGCTGTTTGGCACTCCTTTTTTTTTTTAACATATATAACTCATGTACGATACAACTCATTGTGTAAAGTGTACAATTCAATGATATTTTGTATAGTCAACCATTTCTGCAATCTAACTTTAGACATTTTTTTAATCACCCCAGAAAGAAAACCCTGTACTCATTAGCAGTTACTCCTCATTCCTCTTCTCCTAATTCCTAGAAAGCACTAATATACATATGCGTGCATATATATATACATATAGGACTGAATCACTTTGCTGTACAACTGAAACTAACACAACATTATAAATCAAATATACTTCAATTTAAAAAAAATCTAAGATGATAATAAAAACAGTAAAAGTTATTTTTACTAGATAAAAAAACAAAAACCCGATGTTAAGTGGAAGAAGCCAGACACAGAACAATGCATACTGAGTGATTATATTTATAGTGCGACGTTTAAAAATAGCTCCAAACAAGTAGACTATATTAGCGATGCATACTTACATGCTAAAACTATAAAGAAAGTCAAGAAAATGACTACCTTAAAGTTAGGAAGGGAGGGAGTTTTAATCAGGAAGGGGCACACAGGAGACTTCCAGGGTGCTGGCAACCTTCTACTTCTTGACTTGGGTTTTGGTTCCATAGGTACTCACTTTATAATCATTTTAAACCTAATAGCCATATTCTATGCATTTCTCGGTATATGTGTTATATTTCAAGCACAATGATTAAATTAAAAAATCAGAGTATATCATTTCCTACCCAAACCCTCCAACAGTTTCCCATCACACTTAGATCAAAATTCTAAGTCTCTTCCACAGCTTTTATGACATAGCCTGTGGCTACTTTTCCATCCTCATCTCTTTTCACTTTCTCTAGTCTCAGTGGCCTTGAACGCACCAAGCACGTTCCTGCCTCCGGGTCCTCCCCAAATAGTCACGTACCTCAGTCCCTTGCTACATCAAGCCTCCGCTCAAAATGCCATCTCCTCATACTGGCCTTCCCTGGCCACTTCATCTAAACTAGCCACGTCCTGACCCTGTTTATCCTTTATCCCTTACTCTGGTTTATTTTTCTTTCTTTTAATATTACTGGCATACTAATATCTAGAATACTGCCTGGATCATGGTAGGTACCCCATAAATATTTGCTAACTAAATAGATAAACATGTAAGCAATTATACTAAATATTGAAATAATTCTATTCTCATGATACAAAAGAATACACCATTTAATAACAACAAAAAAAGGGCAGGTTTTAGCTGAAATTACTTCTAGATTGCCTGACTGTTAGGCCAAAAATAACTGCTATATTTCAATTTGGAATCTGTACACATAACTTCCCTACCCCCACCTTTCTGTGTTTCCCTCAGTATTCTAGATCTAATTTAAATAGCTCCAAAACAAAGAAACCAGTCTCCTCTCTTGTTCAGCAACAACATAAACCACTGACTTACTTCTCTAATCGATGCTTTAGGTTCTGTTTTCTGTACCCTCCACTTCTAACATAAACCTCTTTCATCTGCTGATTCCTGAATCCCTATATCATCTATTTATCATTCCACCCCATCTTATCTTCTCCTACTTACTCTTTGCAAAGTGGCTTGCAGCTATTCTTTTTTGTGTTCTTCTCACATGTACTTCTCTCAGACAAAATGTCATATATTTGTGTCTCCCAGTATACCTAGCATAATACCTAACACAGAGTACATGTCTGATAAATTCTTCAATTGAATTTCACAGCTTTCAAGATTTACTTTTTTTTTTATTTGCGGTACGCAGGCCTCTCACTGTTGTGGCCTCTCCCGTTGCGGAGCACAGGCTCCGGACGCGCAGGCTCAGCGGCCATGGCTCACGGGCCTAGCCGCTCCGTGGCATGTGGGACCCTCCCGGACCGGGGCACGAACCCGCATCCCCCGCATCGGCAGGCGGACTCTCAACCACTGAGCCACCAGGGAAGCCCAAGATTTACTTTTGAGACTTACCTTGCTTATAACTTCCAGCATTACCAGGAAGAAAGAGAACAGGAATACCCGTTAAAGGGAGAACTTTGTGTTCTTCAGCATAGGATCCTTCTCCATAAAGATATAATTCATATGCAGGATAGCGTTTTGCCAGTTTCTTTGGAAGTTCTATTTTCTATAGAAAAAAAAAGCAACTTCACTTTAATCAGTTTTACTAATACAATTCAGTCTCACCGTACCCAATTCTGAATTTGAAATAGTACAATATAAAAATATTACTGATGATAAAACTACAGTTAATGCACAAGTTCTACTTTTAGTTTACGCATATGAAGACTCAGTCTTGAGTTATGTGAGCTTTAAACCATGTAGTCTTCAAGAAAGTATAAAATGGGACTACTTGAAATTCTAATAAATACAAATTACTCAGAATAGCTACTGGCAAGAGAAAAACACTGGTTTATGTCAGCAAGTTCCATGTTAACATAATTGAAAATGCATTTAATTTAGTATCAGTTATCAATTATACTTAGAAATGATAAAAGCTTTCCATTATCAAATGAATTCTTTTTTGCTATTTTAAACTGTTTTGTAATGTCTCTCTCCTTTCACTCAGGCCTAACTATATACTCCAAGCTGTTACATCATTCAAAGGAAAGTAAGTTTGTTTTATAATGCAGCTTTCTGACCTCTCAACTTAATATGCTTGACCTACAATGTGCTTAACAAATTAATCTGAACCTTACAGCCATGTCTTGGTTGAGACATGTACACTCTTCTCACCATGAACATTCCAGTGAATTAGCATCTGTTTCAGTTTTCATGGAGTTGGTGCATGGTTTATCAGCAAGCCTAAAACTACTCTGCAATTCATATTACTGTATACCGAATGAGCCAGTAATTCACATAACATTTCTTTCAGCAAAATGCAAATGAAGTCTTAATGTCATCCCCAAAATGTAGGCATCTATAAAAGTGGGAGTAAAGTATAAGCTCTTCTTCTCCTTTTTTCCCCCGAAGGGATGGAAACTGTTAAAAATGAAACCAGTTACACTGAACAGTAGATTTTATTTAAGTAGACATCAACAGATTTAATGATCTAGCAGTAATGTACACGTGCTTGGTAAAAATTTTAACTACTGAATGACTTTTGAAAATTGTAAATGGATAATGACTACTGAAAAAAATCACGGTTCTAGAAAGCATAATTCTGATCATTCATGCAAATTCCTGAATATTCCTTTCAGGATAGTACCATAAACAATCTGTGCCAATAACACCATGAAAACACCTTTAGAGATTGTGACCTTATTGTTTAAGATACTAGCTACTTTATCTCCTCAAATATTCAAAATACAGAGATACCAACCCCACTATTTGCTTTATATGTGTACATGGACTTCAACTCAAATTAGTCCCAATATTAATTATGCATAGTAAATAATCAAAAATAAAAATGATATAATATTTTTTCTTTAGGTACAAATTAAGCAAAAAAAAAATGAGAGAAAAAGGGAACAGTTATCTTAACTCCTCTCAATTTAGTACACCATTTGATATAGCAGTACATGCATATTAGATCACTATTCTTTTTAGGACAGTAACTAAAAAAGTTTTGAACTACTTGAAAATTAACTCAGAAGAACAGGAACTATCAAATATATAGAAAAAGAAATATTAAATTCTCTGGAGACAGAAAAAAAAGCAAAAGAATGTTACTTGATATATTTCATAATCTACTATTATAAAGGCAATTTCATAGTTGAGACAATGTACATTTAAAAATATGAAGGCATCAGACGGCGGGGAAGATGGCGGAAGAGTGAGACACGGAGATCACCTTCCTCCCCACAGATACATCAGAAATACATCTACACGTGGAACAACTCCTACAGAACACCTACTGAACGCTGGCAGGAGACCTCAGACCTCCCAAAAGGCAAGAAACTCCCCACGTACCTGGGTAGGGCAAAAGAAAAAAGAATAAACAGAGACAAAAGAATAAGGACAGGACCTGCACCAGTGGGAGGGAGCTGTGAAGGAGGAAAGGTTTCCACACACTAGGAAGGCCCTTCGCGGGTGGAGACGGCAGGTGGAAGAGAGGGGGAGCTTCGGAGCCACGGAGGAGAGCACAGCAACAGGAGTGCGGAGGGCAAAGCGGAGAGATCCCCGCACAGAGGATCGGTGCCGACCAGCACTCACCAGCCCGAGAGGCTTGTCTGCTCTGGCAGCTGAGGCTCGGGCATTGGTCTGAGCGCAGGGAGAGGACTGGCGGCGTGAACACGGCCTGAAGGGGTTAGCGCACCACGGCTAGCCGGGAGGGAGTCCGGGAAAAAGTCTTGACCTGCCAAAGAGGCAAGGGACTTTTTCTTCCCTCTGTTTCCTGGTGTGCGAGGAGAGGGGGTTGAGAGCGCTGCTTAAAGGAGCTCCAGAGATGGTCGCGAGCCGTGGCTAACAGCGCGGACCTCAGAGACGGGCATGAGACATTAAGGCTGCTGCTGCTGCCACCAAGAAGCCTGTGTGCGAGCACAGGTCCCTATCCACACCCCTCATCCGGGGAGCCTGTGCAGCCCGCCACTGCCAGGGTCCCGTGATCCAGGGACAACTTCCCCGGGAGAACACATGGCACACCTCAGGCTGTTGCAATGTCACGCCAGCCTCTGCTGCCGCAGGCTCGCCCTGCATCGTGCCCCTCCCTGCCCCCAGCCTGAGTGAGCTACAGCCCCCGAATCAGCGGCTCCTTTAACCTCGTCCTGTCTGAGCGAAGAACAGACGCCCTCCAGCGACCTGCACGCAGAGGCGGGGCCAAATCCAAAGCTGAGCCCCGGGAACTGTGCGAACAAAAAAGAGAAAGGGAAATCTCTCCCAGCAGCCTCAGGAGCAGCGGATTATATCTCCACAATCAACTTGATGTACCCTGCATCTGTGGAATGCCTGAATAGACAACGAATCATCCCAAATTGAGGTGGACTTTGAGAGCAAGATTTATTATTTTTTCCCCTTCCCTCTTTTTGTGAGTGTGTATGTGTATGCTTCTGTGTGAGATTCTGTCTGTATAGCTTTGCGTTCACCATTTGTCCTAGGGTTCTATCCATCCACTTTTTTCAGTTTTTTTTTTTACTTCTTAAAAAAATTTTTTTGTAAATAATTATTTTTTATTTTAATCACTTTATTTTATTTTATCTTACTGTATTTTATTTTATTTTATTTTATCTTCTTCCTTCCTTCCTCCCTTCCACCCTTTCTCTCTTTCTCTTTCTTTCTACTTTTTCTCCCTTTTATTCTGAGCCGTGTGGATGAAAGGCTACTGGTACTGCAGCCAGGAGTCAGTGCGGTGCCTCTGAGGTGGGAGAGCCAACTTCAGGGCACTGGTCCACAAGAGACCTCCCACCTCCACGTAATATCAAATGGCGAAAATCTCCAAGGGATGTCCATCTCAACACCAACACCCAGCTTCACTCAACGACCAGCAAGCTACAGTGCTGGACACCCTATGCCAAACAACTAGCAAGACAGGAACACAACCCCACCCATTAGCAAAGAGGCTGCCTAAAATCATACTAAGTCCACAGACACCCCAAAACACACCACCAGACGTGGACCTGCCCCCCAGAAAGACAAGATCCAGCCTCATCCACCAGAACACAGGCACTAGTCCCCTCCACCAGGAAGCCTACACAACCCACTGAACCAACTTAAGCTACTGGGGACAGACACAAAAAACAATGGGAACTATGAACCTGCAGCCTGCAAGAAGGAGACCCCAAACACAGTAAGATAAGCAAAATGAGAAGACAGGAAAACACACAGCAGATGAAGGAGCAAGATAAAAACCCATCAGACCTAACAAATGAAGAGGAAATAGGCAGTCTGCCTGAAAAAAAATTCAGAATAATGATAGTAAAGATGATCCAAATCTTGGAAGTAGAATAGAGAAAATGCAAGAAACATGTAACAAGGACCTAGAAGAACTAAAGATGAAACAAGCAACAATGAACAACACAATAAATGAAATGAAAAATACTCTATATGGGATCAATAGCAGAATAACTGAGGCAGAAGAACAGACAAGTGACCTGGAAGATAAAATAGTGGAAATAACTACTGCAGAGCAGAATAAAGAAGAAAGAATGAAAAGAACTGAGGACAGTCTCAGAGACCTCTGGGACAACATTAAATGCACCAACATTCGAATCATAGGGGTTTGAAAAGAAGAAGAGAAAAAGAAAGGGACTGAGAAAATATTTTAAGAGATTATAGTTGAAAACGTCCCTAATATGGGAAAGGAAATAGTTAATCAAGTCCAGGAAGCACAGAGAGTCCTGTACAGGGTAAATCCAAGGAGAAACACGCTAAGACACATATTAATCAAACAGTCAAAAATTAAATACAAAGAAAACATATTAAAAGCAGCAAGGGGAAAACAACAAATAACACACAAGGGAATCCCCATAAGGTTAACAGCTGATATTTCAGAAGAAACTGTGCAGGCCAGAAGGGACTGGCAGGACATATTTAAAGTGATGAAGGAGAAAAACCTACAACCAAGATTACTCTACCCAGCAAGGATCTCATTCAGACTTGATGGAGAAATTAAAACCTTTATAGACAAGCAAAAGCTGAGAGAGTTCAGCACCACCAAACTAGCTTTACAACAAATGCTAAAGGACCTTCTCTAGGCAAGAGAAGGAAAAGACCTACAATAACAAACGCAAAACAATTAAAAAAATGGGAATAGGAACATACATATCGATAATTACCTTAAATGTAAATGGATTAAATGCTCCCACCAAAAGACACAGACTGGCTGAATGGATACAAAAACAAGACCCATATATATGCTGTCTACAAGAGACCCACTTCAGACCTAGAGACACATACAGACTGAAAGTGAGGGGATGGAAAAAGATACTCCATGCAAATGGAAAACAAAAGAAAGCTGGAGTAGCAATTCTCATATCAGACAAAATAGACTTTAAAATAAAGACTATTAGAAAAGACAAAGAAGAACACTAAATAATGATCAAGGGATCGATCCAAGAAGAAGATATAACAATTGTAAATATTTATGCAACCAACATAGGAGTACCTCAATACATAAGGCAAATACTAACAGCCATAAAAGGGGAAATCGACAGTAACACATTCATAGTAGGGGACTTTAAAACCCCACTT